AAAGCGCGCCAACTATTATATCGAACATTGGTCTTACATTAATATTCTAATGTATGAAAATGTGTCCCCTATATCTACGACACATTTGTCTTAAAACACATCAACCTAACTGAGTAACTTATAACAGCAAATTCTGTAGCATTTGTAACAATTTGACCTTGCCTGTAAACTGTCATGTCTCACGTAACACATTGTTATTTGAGTATTTATGACCATTATTATCATTATTATTATTGCTATTATTACTGTAACGATCAAAATACCAATATTCGGTTTCAACGCAGAACCAAAGAACTAAAGGTTATCTGAATAAACTAGACTAAGTTCTTCCGTATAACGTATAAAGTGTTTTTTAGTTATTAGTATTAAATTGTATCAAAACGCACTATCTGTACTCTAGTTAAACGGTTCTTATTTAAGAATGAGAACAAATCACATCAGAAATACAAAGTTTTCAAACGGTACAGTTTATGATACAAAGTCAAGAGTTGCCCTAACACAAATTTGCGTGCTAAACAACTAAAGGAATTGTTAATGAACAAGAGTTCAATACCTGAGAATCGACAAAAATATTTTTGACAAAATGGGACCAGATATCTATCAGAATGGATCCCAGAAACCTTTCCAATAAGACAGTTAATGGTTAGCGATTACACAGTCGACCAATCCATGACCATCGTTTAGTCAAACACGACCTTATTGTCAACAGTCCAACAAAATGCAACAGAAAAACTAAGTAACAAAAGGTGAGTTTCTAACCAAAGTCACATAATAAAAGCTCAGTCGAGAAATACTGAAGAATATAAGCGCGGTTAAAAAAGGCCTGAATAAAGGTTAAAATACACGACAGCGAGAAGAAACAAATAAATTACAATTCTGTCCAACGAAATATTGGGGAAGAATTTCCAGAGTTTTCTTTCTGTTACAATCATTATTATAACTCCTGATGGTATTTCGCTTTTGAATGATCGTGTTGTTATTCCTTGCTCACTATGTGAATTCGTTCTTTAAGATCTCCACATTCGACATTTGGTCGTCGAGAAAACGACGTCCCTGATAGGGTTCACGTGTCGATGGCAGTAGATTAATACAGATATATGTCGTACAGCAAACATTCGCGAAATAAGTCATAAGCGGAAAAATCATCCACCACTATACACTCCATGGCTTCTTTCGTCTGCAGCCTTGCCGAAACGTTACTCAGACTGTCGTGGTTGATTTCTGGCCAAATGTAATCATTTTATTCATTAGCTGTTTTCATAATGATCTGAATTTTAGCCGCGATTTCATGGAACTCTATCTTCGCAATCTTGGATTGAGAAATGTATGTATGGTCAGTGAAATGGTACTGGGCCATGACGAAGTCCTCCGAAATTCAGGTCACTGAATGTCGAACAGCTCACCGATCCTTGTCAAGTTCAAGGCCAACCTAGCATATTAATCAGTCGCACGTCACGGACTGGACTATGCGATAGTTGTCGCAATATTTTCCTTGGATCTGCTCTAATTAATATACTTCTGTAACAACGTTCCTTGTTTTATATGGTTTTCAAAGCATCCATACTTTGATATGACGAAAGAGTAGTCCAAGTTGGGTGCTGACCGCGAGATGTGATTGTCTACCTCGTGTTGGCCCCCAGTAATTCGACACAGATTGTCTACTTTGGTGATCTACAAGTGTCTAGTCAGGAAATGGTCCCAAGGTATTATTGATTGATAATTATCCTCATTTCGTTAAAGATGAACTTAATATCTGACTGCTTCTAGAAATACTTGTTCTGACGGTCAAGAAGAAGGCTTTGTCATGACATTTAAAAATCACCGTTAATTACATTTTTGCCTCAACTCTTGATAAACTGGCGAGGAGAGCAAACACATTTCTTCTGCAAGGAAAATAACTTCGTGGAAATTACTAAAAGGAAGGATTTTCTGATCGAATACGGGGTTTTTAGAGTCTGAAGAAGTTACATGCTTAAAAGTATAATGTTTCTTTAGAACTGTATTACTGTATTATTTTACGAACTACGTGCTGGAAAAACCACATATCGACAAGAATTTCTTCGAGTAACCACTTCTGGAATATTTACTCTCTTAAGTACTCACTAACAAGCTGTTTTCCTTCAGTATAAACAACTGACGAACACAACTTACAACTTAAGTTGTCAGGAGTCCATAAATTGTAAAGAGCAGATCAACAATATTTTGATGAATTTAATTACACCAACCTCTCTCAGCATCAGAGATGTTGATCGGATCCTAAGTGGTTTCCGAGTTCTTGTTCCGGACTTACTGAGCACTATCAGAAGTGTCCTGGGGATATGCACAAGTGTCCAACCAAAATTCATCAGCAGTGGGATTTTCTACCACATCGGGTTGAAAACTAATCTGCTAAGATATGTTGAACTTTGGTTGTGAACTTTTGATTTTGATGCTTTAGATTTGTATATTAATATAGATGGACTATCTATTTCAAGGAACTCAAGTCAACATTCATGGCCTGTATTAGAACAGATCGTTGCCCCAAGGTTTAGTGACGTGTTCGTGATAGGGATCTATGTATGGAATACTAAACCAGCAGAATTCAACAAAATTTCTGCGGACACAAATTCCGAAATAAAAGAAATAACTGACGTGGGTCTGATTAGTTTTAAGTTCAATAAATACATAGCTATTAAGTTGTATGCTGTAATATGTGATGCACCTTCTAGTTCTGATGTTAGATACACGGTTAATCACAATCGAAAGGCAAGTTGCGACAGACGTATTGTACTTGGTAGACTAATTGGCTGGAAGATGACTTTTCCAAATGGTGAATATTCGTTAAGAACGGACGACAGCTTTCGTCGTCAGACTCAATCTACTCATCATCAAGGCCATTCCATTCTACAAACGCTTTCAATTAATATGATCTCAACTTGTCCATTAGATCCCATGAGCATGGTGTACGTAGGTGTCACAAAAAACCAGCCAATATATGGATAGAATTAGCACACAAAAAACTGTTAAACATGAACTCATGTGTAATTAGGGATATAAATAATTTAATATCTAGTTGCGTGGCAAGAACTACATTTCGTATCAGTGAGTAGCATACATAGAAACTATAATTTACTGTAGATAGTCTACAGTCTGCAAAGGAAATGTTAGTTTCCTTCCAAAAACTGAATGTTTATCGTGAAGATAGTTCAACGGACGAAAACACTTTGCTACTGAACACTGAGAAGCCAAAGATGTCAGTACAATAATCTTACTAACATTTTGCATTCAAGCGTAAAGAAAGGTTTTCTTACGATTCCGTTGACATGGATATGACCGAGATGCAGGCTGTAAACAGCCACATACAAGTATATACATCACTGTGTACATTAGGATCTAAGTGTGTAGGCAGTATGTTTGTGGCCGAGTAAGTCATCTGTACGATCAAGTGAAGTTTTTCAGATTTGATAGATTGCATACTGTGCTGCAGAACACATCGTCAACTATCACTGACTTAAGTGCAAATGTGAAGCTGCTACTGTCGAAGCCCGGTGACCGCGGAAATCCGCATCAGTTCGGTTGCGGACTATCAATTCAACAGTTCCCTTTGTCATCTGGTGAGGAACTGCAGATGTTGGACACCTGTTTACAGCAGAAAGAAACCAGGGACAGATTTGTACGTCAGCAACACTAATTTGGTAATTTGTTCGTCTACAGATGACCATGTTAACGAGGTTAGTAGATAATGATCCCGAAACCGCAATGCGACATGTCTTGTTGTACCTCATGACACCTGAGGTTGCCAGTAATTTCACGCCACTTGGCACTTCGTCAAAACGAACTATTCAGAAATGCTGGTTTTACGGCTGCATGCGAAGTAACCTGTATCTATTATTTAAACTTCAAGTGCACTAACCAATCGATTTTTGTCATCATGTGTCAGCGAAAAAGACCTTGCGAAAGTGTACGATATCGCGACACAAGGTTATTTTCATGACGTGCGAGACAAAGTAAAAAAACTTAATCAACGGAAACAAGAAAACGTATGTACTAATTTAGATTGGTAACTTCCCTAATGCTCTATAGATACAGTCTACAGTGTTAACGAACATAACCGTAAGTTCAGCTTCAAGTATTTGGCTGTGCCAAAGCATATCATTGAGATATGGTTGTGACCTTTTTTTAATTCAGAATTCACAGAACGACTACCTCAATTCCGAATAGTCCGTGCAATTGTTTTGGTGTTCTACCTCCATGTCAATAAACATTTTTCTTTCAAACAGCTTACTTTTTTACTTACTTGGGAAACTGTTGAGAATGTGTGTTTGAGTTTCAGTGAACTTTTGATTAAATGGACATTGCTTATGAATAAAACATAACCTGTTCCTTCTTTTTCAGATAATTTTCAATAACAATGAATTAGCAATTGCATTAGACATGCATAACAATGGATGCTTAAGCTTGTGCTCTACTGTTGTACAATAATAGGCTTTTCTTTTTAAATACAATTTTCAAAAAATTTACCGCTTTTAAAATGCATTGCAGAAATATTTTTGTCTGTTGTTGAAAATAAAGGCGAATGCAGGAGACCTTTGGTCTTCTGTCGATAGATAGAAAATAGGGTGTAATGTGTGTATTTAGGCGGATATGAGACAAATTAGCGGATATTTAGGCGAAAATTCGGCTGATATTTAGGCGAAAACGCGACTATTGAGCGGTTATTTAGGCGAAAATGCGACAATTCGGCGGATATTTAGGCAAAAATGCGACAATTCCGCGGGTATTTAGGCGAAAATACGACAATTCGGCGGATATTTAGGCGAAAATGCGACAATTCAGCGGATATTTAGGCGATAAGTGGGTAATTTGTCAACAAAAAGGCGAAAAAGGGGAAATTCCGCATTATTTCCCCCGGACAGGCGAAAAAGGCGACATTCTGATGCGTTTTCCTCTTTATTTCTCCTTTCGCTACCATAGCATCTACCCTTTTATTTCCCCTTTTTCCCCCATTATTTCCCCTTTCTAGGTTGTCTGGGAACCCGCTGAATTTGGAACTCTCAAGGTTAATGTTGATAATACTACATCATTTCTAATCTCGATGGAGAGGCAGAGGTCTTTCGAAGTTCTTCATGTTGATGTAATGTATCTCATAGTTTTAAATATTTTATTTCAGGATGAAACTTTTAACCTAGGTACGTTCAAGCAGTGATCAACATACAGAAGTTCATGGTTCGTATACTTTCTTATTACCTTTCGGTGCTCGGAAGTTTGTGTTTGAGTCCTTTTGTTTCTATTACAGATTCTTTTGCCGGCCCTTATTTTACCCCCTGTCCGAACCAACACTTTCTGGATAGTTATTTGTGAGACGGTAATGCAGCCCAATCAGCTTAGCCTCGTTTAAAATTGTTGAAGAAGTCCATATTGTCTTTTAAATCGCCTGAACATTTCTCGAAACTATGGTCTGTTTCCGCCATGGAATTCAACTTGTCAGAAAAAGGTTACGTAATGTCGATGACTTTTTTCCTATTCGTAAAATGTTGACAATATGAGACCTAGCAACACACCGATTCATGGCAAATGTGTTCACAGTGAATTCAAAAAAACCTTATGATTGTAGCCCCTTTTAAGTGAAAATTCTGTCGACTTTAAGTACCAAATATTCACAATGTCCTTAATTCTCTCCCCTGATCAATAAATCAGTTTAGTTTTATAAAACCAATTTGTCGACGGCATTGTTATTTTTTTCCATCAGATTTGTACAGCTGATATAGTGTGAAAGGTTACTACAATCTTGGGGTCCACTTATATCTAAGTATGCAGTTTCGAATCAAGCAAATTTCGTCACATCCAGCATCCAAGTAAAAAACAACGCTTCATTAGCTTTAAATACTGTGAAAAATTAGGAATGTGGTTGTATGCACTTACAAAATTTAGTTTAGTATTTATTTGTATAATAACTGTGCTGCATAAATAGTTTGTTTACAGTACATGAGAACTTTTTAAGTTTTGATAAGTAGTAATGATCAATGACTTCCCGACATCTTAGCTCCTATTTATGTTGATATCTCAAAGGGAGTTTATCTACGTAAACATATTTTTTGAATGCTGCTAATGAATTTGACAGCCACAATCATTGTACTAATCTTCTATCCCTTCCTGGAGTCTTTTATATATACCCCAAGAAATGAATGTCTCTTATTCATCTAGTCCTCAAAATTTCAAACGTAGGACCTTCAGTCCTGCTCATGAATGCTTAACCTCTGGACCACTGAATTGAGATCCGATGGTGTTAATGTCTAATATCAACCAATCTACGATGCGGCGCAACCATCTTTGATTATCTGATGGGTAACGGTTTCACACTCAACACGGTTGAACTCCGCTGGTCAAGCTTTCTCACTAGAACGAGAATTCCCTCTCGAAGCTAGCCACTAGTGAGCACATGATGATTGTCAATATAGGGTTGTAGAAATTATTGACTTTCATTGTTCGGTTCACAATCCCAATGAAAATTAACAATTTTAGCAACCATATACTGATGATTCGTAAAAGTTTCGAACCTCAGGTAGACACGGCAAACGTTTTGGATAACGTTACTTTGAACTGTGTTTCGTCCGAATCCCCTGTAGTGTGAAATCAGTATCTGCCTACTGTCCTGAGTTACTAAAATCGTTTTGCGTGCCTTCTCTCGAAACCATTTAGAATCTTCTTTAAAATCATAATAAAAAACAAACCTTGTCCGAAAATAAGGTTACACCAGTCAGCATTTCTGGGGGATCAGTTTTCGAACCCCACAATCAGTATGGGCTGTGTTTAACGTACAGTAAAGGCAGGATTGAAATAGAAAAATTCCTATATTGAATAATTCTCGGACATCCCTTGATTCTCAATATTAGGCAACATATGATGTGAAGCAATAAAGTAACGGTATGATCTGTCGTTCAACCTAAAAACTGCAAATAAGTTGACAAGAATAAGAAAAATGATACCAAGTGGTGGTATCAGAAACAATAGTACCGGGATTGTAAAAAGATTAACGGGAACGTAGTCAGACTTTCATCAGGTACCTCAAAAGGGACGATACCTGTGTATTAATTTTTTTCACAAAAACGGCTGGTATAGATAGACCTTGTTAATGTCTGTTGTGCTGATTTCAGATGTTACCAGATCAAGTTACTGTCTTGATCCTCACAGTTGGTACTTGCTAGAAATGGATGATTATCGAAACATTGTTTTTGAAATGTAAAGCTATAGCCTAGTTGTCAAAGTACTCGGCTTAAAACCACTAAGTTGTAAGTTTAAACCCATGAACTAACACGATTTTCGGCAACCAGGTTGTATTTTTGTTTGATAACTAATTTATGTCCCAAATACAGATATATGTACTTAGTAAATGAGTTTCACTTCTCAGCGGTTCCTAGAACGTCAAAATACTTTTATAAGTTTTCCTATGACTTGATCTGTTTCATCGCTTATCAAGTCCTCCTCCTAACTATGGGCAAAGGTTTGACATCTTTTGGTAGTTCTTCATAGATCATATCCTTAGTCAGAGGGATAGTAATTGACAGACAAGCAACAACTCGTAATATCAATCTTACTGAGTTCTCAGTTTCATTCATTTAGAGTGTGCAGGCAACTATTGAATATTATTCATCCTACAGATGCATGTACTGCTTTTAACTTAATCCTATACTTTCACACGTGAAACCACGAAAATTCGCTGTTGAATCTCTAGATACCTACCAGGTACAGTGGCATGCTTCCACACGTTGGTGAAATAAAGTCAAGTAATAGCACGAGTTCTACGTATAGAATTCAGAAAGACATTTATTTAGTAGAATTTTAAATTTACTGATTAGTGATATCTGTTATCCCATAGTTCTAGCATTAAGGTTTCCGACAATTAGCTTGAATTACTGTGTCATGACACCACGTTTGGTATTACGTAATCTCAGATTGTCAACAAGTCTCATATCCGAATGAAGCTAGTGAGGGGTTGGTAAGGTGTCTATGATAAGACAAAGGGAATTAATGTTGAACCGGATAAGCCCAAGACCTGCATATGGTTTGTGGAGGATGAACACCTTATCGCTCCATAAACAGTAGAGGGGCTATGGCTTGGTGCCCATCACTAGTTACTAATTGTCCATTTAAGCACCATTTTGAAGGTAGTTCTTTATACTATTGATCATTGGTTACTAGTGGAATCCCTATTGAGTAAACATGAAAGTATTAATTCACCAGTAAATTCTCACTAGAAATATGTACATCCTTTGTTATATTTTAGAGAATGATAGTCTTGTCGAAAGTGTCTACTTGGTTTCTGAGCAAGCTGTTTCTGATGAATCACCTTCTTACACTGAGGTTTCGAAGTCTGACAAGTCAGAGGATTCTCTATCCACATCGACGTTCGATTTCGTCAAACTGGACTGCGACCAAAACCATGCGTAAGTCACATTTCCCCACTGTTTATAAACAGTATTATGGTTAGCGTGTTTGTGCTTATAGTGTCGATTTCAAAGTTGTCCTTGACTTTATTTTATGTAGTCACTGAACATGTAAACTTCAATTTGTAAAAGAAATCTAATAATAACCTATAATCTACTTTTTCTATTTAAGTGGAAAGGGTTAATTTGAATCACGGATCTTTTCGTGTAAAAAAGAAATACTTGGGCCACTTTGAAGACAGCTTATGAGAGCATGAACTATAATCACTCTTTGTTAAGTGTTGAATTTGTTCATAAATCTTGAATACTTTAAGCTAGTCAATAGCAAATAGGTGGCTCCCATTCAGTTTAGACCATGTACATGACAGACCTACTAAATCCTGTGTTGAATAACCTAACTAATTATTTGATTTGTTTGCAGAGTATATTTTGTAAAACTTAAGGTTACAAATCCCACAAGAAGAATGCAAAGTGATGATTTGGATAAAACAACCTCGTTCATTTGATAACTAAGTCATAATTTCCATTTTTAAAAATTATTTTAAAGATAGTGTCATTTAAAGTAACTTCGGATGGTTAAGAGATCAGGATGATCAGACCAAAATTTGCCGAGAAGTAGTAAGACATTTAACAACTGAACCGAATCATTCTTTGGACTGTAGACTATTAGAAATGTTTCCTAAAATTCTCTTATTGTCTCATTCGAAAACCATATCTTTCATTTCTTTTTATGAATGATATTAAAATGTATAGTGGCCTCAGTAAATGTATGGTTATTCTGTACTTTTCCTTAACTGAATTAAGTTCACTAATGTATCCGTATTTTTACTTAAACTGGTTCAAACATTATATAAATCGTTGTGTTTATAAATGTCGTTGATTGGGTGTAATTAACCAAATTTGAAGTTCAAAATGATTTTCTGTAAAAAACCAAAATGCTCATAATGTTGCTTACATTTAGTAATTAATTCATATTTATGTGGTTGATGTCTGTTATTTAATTAGGTAAAACGAAATGTCATAAGCAAATACTATAAAACCTTTAATATCTCGTTTACTTTGAAATCAATTTGCAGTGCCATTACACAACCCTCTGCATCTTGTAACTTGGACCAGTTACATTGTCTAAGCATACCTAATGAGCAAGATCCAACTATTGTATATGAACAATCATGTATCCAATCGTCAACGTACTCTGAAATAAATGCGTCTGATCGGATACATTTTTACTGTAAGTAACTATTTGACTACTCATGAAATAACAACAGTGAAAATTTACAAATAGAAAAGTGTGACAGTTATTTTAACTACTTAGTTTACCTTCAGTACTTTGTGGCGATCATTATAGTTTGAAGATATTTTTCATCTTGAACTGAAAATAGCCACTGCAAACTATGTAACGCTGAACAGCTTTTGTATACTAGTTGGAAAGTTATTCCTGACATTAATTTCTCATCTTTCAAAGTAAACTTAGCTACTATCAAGTAAATTCGATTTTGCGAACAAAAATGATTACTATTTTTTGGCCATATTTCATGAACTTTAAGAGCTGGTTTACATAGAAAAATATCTCGTTATTCTTGTGATTTTCTTAATATCATCCGCTGGCGTTTAAATCTTACAAATATAACCAAACACTTCAACGACCATTTCGTCTTACAAATGCTTTTATAGCACGTAATGTTTTGTAATTTATTCTGTTCTGTGTCGTATGATATTGATCAGTTTATCTTTGAATAATAACTGTTTCGCCTATCCTAACTCTAAAGAAAACAAAAAACTTACGGTCCTATAGCACAAATTTGTGCACTTGATTATACACTATGCTTTTCGCGTCACTGGTATCATTTGACTGTTAGGTCTGTAGTTATTTTCACCTGAAATTCCTTCTTGGCTTTTCAACGTATTATATATATTTGCAGGTCGAAGTCACATAATTATGAGATTTTGATCTTATTCAATGTTTTAAGATTTTCATTAATGTCTTTCATTTAGTAAAATTACTACACTTAACACTTTTTTTACCTTTTCCTGCCGTTTAGTCCGTGATTTTCTTTTGGGAGGCATAATTTTCAGTTTGCTTTTAGGTAAGTCACTTGTGTGGTAGAAACGAACTGTTTTTTTGTCGAATGCTTTTTGTACGTACATCTGTATGTATATGAAGATAATTAGAGTGGCTATGATTTTTATCTCTCAATTTTATTATCAGATAAACCAATGGAAGTTAACATCAATAAATATGGTCAACCCACCAATTACTGTTTTTATTTTCCGACTTGTTGGATAGTTTTACTACGCCATACTATTAAAACTGTTTGGTTTTCTTTTTCTCCGATTAGAAGTTAATTCGTTGTAATCGTCTTTATATATATCAATTTGCTGCCTTTATCTTTCAGAGTTATTCTATGGTGTGAAAATGACTTACCAATTTAACCAATGCCACTTACATTGAATTATGTTTTTTAACTGCAGATTTAATATCTACAAGATAGATAAATTTTTCTACAAATAGTATCTACTGGCCTAGCAATCTATCGATAAAAAAACATTACTCCATTGTAATGATAATTTTATATAAATCAGTTTACTCATTGGTACTGACCGCAATGACGAGTAGAAAATATCGGGAAAGCAGATTGGTTCAAAGATTCCTTGATGACTAGGGTCAACAGTGCACAGGTTAATAAAAGAAACTAAAAATACAGTTTTTGAATGGGTGATACTCGACCATTATGTACATTTACTAAGGTAAATGTTTCGTTGATGGCAGTATTTTTTTTAAAGGTAACTGATAAAACTAGACCAATCAACAATAGAATATCAAAAGACGATTCAGTTGATCTTCGTCTGTCTATCATTTCGTTAGACTTTGAATAAGACAATAACCCTTGAAACTTAACTAATGTTGTAAAAAGCTATTTTCTTGATATCATTCATGTATACAGAGATAAATTGATCTAGAACTTCAACCTACATTCATCCAACCTTCTTATCGGTATGATATACAGCTCACTACTTTTCTTTCAAACAAAAAATAAACAGCAATATTATTTTGATTGTAATGAATTCAAATCGAAATATAAGTTGATTACTACTAGTCGTATATTGAAGTATAATTATGTAATATACAGTTGTATTTTGACTGATAACCGATTAAATTCCTCACTAATAAACAGTCTTTTGTTTCTTTTTCGCAAATATTATATATATATATATATATATTTCAGGTCATATGCTATATTCTGAACAATGTTATAAAAGTAAGCAAAAATTCTGTTTACTTTTCTTTGTGTATGATATTTTCTACCAGCTTTCGCATTTTCTTTACTTATTTTATTTTTAAATTGTTTATAAATGATTATATACATACTTCATACGGGAACAGCAGTAGTAGTGTACTAAACGATTAAAAAATTGCCATTTTACGTTTTATCTTTATACATTAAGAAAAAAATATTACAATAGTTATCTGTCAATTGCACAAGGAAAGTAAAGCATAACCAAAGGGACAAATTCACAAGTCTACATATTATTTTCTTGTTGTTATATTCCAATATAAAGACTTATTAAGTTCATATAAAATAACAATTAAGTTATTCTAAATCTAAACGACTATAAGTTTCTAACTGTTCTTTTTTAACTCTATGAATTACACTATTTTCTTATTGAGTTGTTGATTTATCAGTAAATTATTTGGTGGTAGTATTTTCAATAACCGTGAGGTTAATCAACTGTTTTTAATGAAATAAAATAAACCAAGACTAAATTTATTCCTTTAGATTAACTTGAACTAAATAAGTAGTTGGCTTAACACACTGTCCACGATCATCGGTACTAAAACACCTATTTCATTTACCTGACCGTATTAATTATATAATATTATATATAGAAATATTAAAAGAACGGTTATAATAATGGTAGTCTTATGTTTAACAGTACTGAACTGATAGAAATTAATCACATATTACAGTATTTCGGAAGAATACTATTACTACTACGAATCTATTTTTTAAAATCAATAATCTTTTCTGCCATTTATTCAACGGCTCAGTGATCAGTTCATATCACGATAGTAATAATACAGCCTATGTGTTTTGAAATACTTTCATGCGAAATCAACAGGCTGTGCTAACCTTTCAATGACTCATTTAACCAGTTCATTTAGTAAATATTTGTAAAAATATTCCAATAATACAGTTATCATTGAAAGTAATAAAAAGGATAATAATTATAGCCTTCTATTTTGGTTATTGACGAGTAGTATAGTTTACCTTTATTCGCTTATTACACAAACTTGGTGGTAGTTCAAAGTTAATCATAACTGTATAGATAAATCAATTGTCTAGTTCTATTTTAATCTTGCTCTTCATGGATTTATTTCATTTTTTCACTTCTACTCTTTTCAGTCGTATTAACATCTTTCTATTTTTATCGATTTTTCTTCTCTATTTCGAAGTCTGTCAATTTTAACCAAAGCACTTTTGTTTCATGATTTGTATGTTGTGTAGCCTAGTGCTTGTATCACTCCAACACATTTAATTTATCTCAGTTAACGGCCAACAATTTAATCATTTCCCCCTTAATATTGTTGTTTTCTTTCAGATAGAATTGCTGGTTGTGAAATTGAACGTGACAAATTATCAACAAGTAAGTTAATATAAGTTTCATTTGTTTTGTTACATTTGCCATTAGTTTTTGCTTATTTTATCTTAATTAAAAGATGCTTCTAATCCAGTAAACAATCTATTACACAGCAAATATTCGTTGTGTTTTACCGTACAGATTCAAAGTATTATCTTTAAAAATCAGGGATATATATATAAGTTGTAGGTATTTGATTATAACGCATTGCTTGTATGTAACTAAATTACTGAGTAATCAATGCCAAAGTTAAGTTAAGAACCGTTTTTAAAAACAAAGATACTTTAATCACCGATTTCCTTCTGAGCTTCAGGAGTTAAACTGTCGGTCATGGCCAACGTAGATCGCGGCATAAATGTGTTTTGACTGACGTTAGCATACCACATTAGTACGGAAAGATCAAATTAACAAGATAGGTGGAGAAATTAAATTAATAAGGTAGAAACGATGATGTGAAATAATAAACATTGAGAATATGATTCTGAAAGATGGTAAAAAGGGATATTTGAAAGGGCACTCGAATTTAAGACAAAAAGTGTATGCATGTGCGTCATTATGAATGATTCTCATCCAAACTGTGCAACTATTGATCACAATTATCGTGCAGACCCCATTCACGTAGTCTTCATCTACCGACATAGCTCAGGCCAACCGTCATCGGCCTCACGAACTGACGCCGCGTTTCGCTTTGGCCGCTCCAAACTTTATTCCGACCTAATTACACAGCAACTAATATCGCACACGTAACACATGCCCGAAACACCTCAGGTGGTGGAGATTAACAACCTCACCAACAGATATGCCATCTTTCCCTAGTACCTTATTTCTAACTTCAACGTCGCTCAGTTGGTTGTCCAACGTTAGATGGGCACTGCTTCGAAAATTTTAACGCTTAGCATTTGATCGTATTGAAACGTAAGCTTCCTTCAACCACTCGTTCTATATTCTTGTTACATTTTTATTTAGCATATATATGTGAGAATTATATGGTATCCTGTTTATGAATTATCGCAGTCATTTAGCTTAAACTAATAATCATGATGTTCTAGAATGCTAATTCCAACCCAAATGAGGGTATGCACACATAGATAACTATATAACTTTTTTCTTACAAGATTTTATACTTTTATTAGGGATGTTCAGAACCTACTATTTGATAACTTATCTTGAATGGTTTCGAGTTACTGTATATATATATATATATATATATATATATATATATATATATATATATATATATATATATATATATATATATATATATATATATATATATATATATATATATATATATATATATAAGATAAAGCAAATTTATACCCAAATGAAACAGATCATGATTGTATTCGACTATATATTACTTTATGTAAGCTATGTGTATCCTTCTGGAAAGAATCGATTACATAAACAGATAACCTCATCTTATTAAATATCTACACAAGTGAACTTGAATTAATTAGCAGATGTGCCTTAATTTAAAGACGAGTAATCTTACCAGTATATATTGTCGACCTTTCAAAGAAATTGTCTTTTATTATCACTGTCTTTCTTTTTTCGATCACTTTTGAATTTTATTTTACTCCCCATTTTCTAGACATTTCTTTTCTATCGACTGAAATTTTACAAAAAGATACAGCATATCGACACCTGGAAATTAAACATAAACACCTTAAAAATGTAACAAATCAATTGCATTCAGGTAAGAAGTTTAGTTCTTTTATCATTTATATTGTGTTTGTCTGTTACTAAGAGGAAAATATCAATTTTTCTGTATCTGCCTAAACTGAACCTGGTGTTTTGTTCTGATGATAACTGCTAGTAAGAGAATAGAGATCATCTAGTTACTTTATACATCCGAGAATTTTTATCATATTCCATGGATACAGTAATAATCAGTTCAAGTTAGTTATGGGGAATTAATTATTTAAAAACTAGTGTCCATTAAAAATTGATTACTGCTAAAACTGCGGAGCAGATAATGTCGAACTATAAAAATAAGATATAAGGAACTGTTAGTTTATTATCACAGGTGTAATAGATAAATAGTTGTAAATTTCTAGAAAAGGACTTTCTTCATTCTTCAAGCTGTTGCTGTATGAACCATGATAAGTGTTTTAGTAATTCACAATTTGACCAGTAATAAAACAACAAGATAGGACTTAATTATCGAATACTACTCTGGTTCCCTCAATATTATCCGAACCACAGTATATTATCTACTTGTCAACCTTAATAGTGTCATTAATGTCTAGATAAAAAATGTACATGAACAGTTAGAAACGACGTATGGTTGTGCTGACTAACCAGATCGAAGCAATCTTAACATTGAACAACCCCCTTACTTGTATAAGGCCAATCTTATCACTTATATACAGAGATTGATTTGTTTCATAGAGCTAAATCGTCCAATTCACTTCATTTGTCCTTAACTACATAAATGGACTGCTAATACAACTATCAAATATATTTTATTTATATTTCTCTCTATTTAGTTTATTTCATAGTTCAACTTTAAAATTTATTCAATGATTACATTTTTAGCAATGATTGTTAAATTATACAATGCACTTTAGGTGTATAGCTTGTAGGACTTCATTTGCTGATTTGTTTATATACACTGGTATTGTATTCTCTGTATAATGATCTTCAGCTCACGAAGTATATTCAAATTAACTCTGTATGTAACAAAAAAAATACAGAAGTTTATAATAAAAATTATATAAAAACTTATAACCCCTTCTGAATTGGTTCATCAACCCCAATCGTTCTAACATGAATCAGTCATCATATTTAGACTATGCTTATACCGAGCATACTAGCTAGATTTTTATAAGTTACGGACCAACAAAGTTAGTTACATTTTAGAAAACTCCTACTCACCATTTACAATTTGTTTTAGTTAGTTTATTTATTTTTATTCATGCAACTACATGGTTAATGAGCCGCTCGTCAGGTTAGTTTTCATTTCTTTCAAAACTGAGTAGAAAGAAGAGATATAAGGAATGATATGCGAACAATAACAAATGAAAGAGAATTTAATACAAAATAATCAGCCTTTACAAGGTGTATACGAAAGAAAATCATAACCAAACTTATATCAGTTTTGTTCATATCTATTAATAGCTTTGTGTTTGGAAGCAATTTGCTAGGAGTGGAATACTTAATTTTCATATCTGTTTACATTCATGTCCAAACTACCCCAGCAATATTCAAATAGGTTATGCTTCCTCAAGGATTCGAACTTGAATCACTCAGTGTTTCTTTTAAGAAACTCTAGTTTGTTTGTTTGCTTATAATAACTTCATTTCCATTTCATGGTGTATATGTGTTATTGTTTAAAAAAGTTTTATACAAATCAAAGATGCATAGCTTTTGTTCACAATTCCAGATATATCTATACTAACAGCTGAATTACGTGACAAAGCCCTAGCTTACAATGAATTAAAATCAGACTACAAATATGTCAGTGATAAAATGAAAGAGTTAACCAATGGTAAATTAAATTTATTTTAATTTCCTTTATATAATTCCATTATTTTTTGATACCTTATTATTCTTTGCGTTGCACAACGTATTGAAAATGCCACAAAATAACTAACTGTATATATCTTAACAGTAGAGCAGTGATTCAGTGAGTTATATAAGCAGACTGTTCATGTACATTTTTTATCTAGCCCCCAAATGCCCTGGTACGGCCGAGGGTGAGGAGAGTCAGCTCTCTTTCTCCAAATGCTCTCACATGCCCGCGCTTATACAGCCGCTGCCCGGCTAGTTCTACTCACCGCCTTCTTGCGGCTGGGGGTGTTGTTTACGAAATCGAGGGGACGAAAAGCGGATGTCTGGCGCTTTAACCGGGCTGGTGCACATGGACAGTCTACCTAGGGAAGTTGGAAAACCCTGATTACAAACCATTGACGCACATGATGTTACGTCCAAGTTTTTGCTCGTTCCCGTTATTGAAGTACGGTATATCGATCTATTTGCAATTTACGAACCCAAATTAACAACAGAATCAAACTCCGATTCAGGTACCAAAGTTTATTCGTAATTTCCAAATAGTCGACTCAAATGTCGTTCTCCAATTTTCTACGTTCCCGGAGCAAAAACTCTCATATACCAAACTAAAGACGAAATAAACCAAAATGTCCGAAAATAATGATATAAACAAACAAGTTGAGTAAATCAAATACATCCGAAAACAGTGAAATTAATAATATTTAATATAAAGATTTTAATCAGCCAAATGTCTTCAGTTCTCCCGTAACACATGGGCTCCAGGATCCTGAAGGAAAAATGGCGTATAAACCAATCGTTGGTGATAGGCTACCAGGAGACCGAATCTCCTGACGTTGCTCCACTGCCTTGTGGATCAGACCTTTAGATCGAAGGCTCGGTGTGGCCTCCTATGCAAACCATCTGCTTCGGTCTGTGCACCTGTGCAGTATCCAAGCCCTCACACAAATCGAATGATTTATGTGAAGCATATGTATACAATGCCCCTTTGTACTAATATTTATGTGTTCAAATAAATAAATAAGCAGTCAACCTTAAGCCAATGTTTCATAGCTCACCAACCACCTTAACTATTTTATTCTGGCCTCATACTTATTTGTAGTTCTTAAGTCATGATAAAACAGACCATTGGTCATAGTTTAATGCTAAAGAAGGTGTAGGATTTATTAAACTTTTTTCTCGAATTCGATTTTCATGGAACATATTTCTAATAAATAATCGCTTGCCACTTAGTCTTTTTCTAGGACTTTTGATGTATCTGAAAACCTATTGATCCTGAGATAAAATTCTAGGTATTTTCATCGAAGACGTAAAGAAATAAATCCATATTTAACATTGAATATGGTCGTCAATACGATCTTGCTAGTCGATCGTGCCTAGACAAGTCGAATGTTTAAATGGTAGCTGAAGTTGAACTATGATTAAAGGTTTACATGTTTCAAATGTATTATGGGTTGAATAACTAAATTTTCAATATCATCTAACAATGAGGCTTAATTGCTCAATACTAGCAGTTTTTTCGCATTCATTAGCTACTCATTATCTTTGTTTTCTAAAATTTAATTCATATGTATCAGTCATGATTATGATAAAGATGGAAGTAATATGATATTTGCACGTATTTGTAACTTCAGTGAAACAATAAAATCCCTAAACTTTTTAGCTTAGCCTCCATGTATTTGGTCGCGTAATTGTATATTCCCTTGATGATAAAGTGATACTTCAGTTTTGTAGAGATCACACCACTTTCTAAGGTGTTCATCGTAGATTTCCGCTCCACTGTGAACTATTTATTTATAGGTATTTCCACAATTTCTTGTTGAATCCAATCGAAATTCTTTTTCGAATCTCTATTTTTCTTACATATTCTTCGGTATGTATTCAAGCCAATACGTAATCCCTGATTTATCACTTGACATGTCTTATAAAGTATACGGTTGACCTAGGAGAAATACGTACGACTTTTTCAGTAACATGATATACTAGCCCTTTTATCACGCAGAACTGCTTTTTATGGCGTTGACGCTAATTTCTCTCTATTTGACTACAATATTTCATATCCCGTTAACGGAATATTTTAGCAAGCCAAATCTTCTAGTAGTATTATGAGTTTACTCGAGAATATTCAAAAGCCAGAAAACCAGTTTTTGGGACAGTGTATTAATGAATTAATCAATTAATGAAACCCGCATGTACACGGGAAATCGATCGAGTTAAAAAATCCATATATATTTATGAGTGTTAATCGATTGTGGAGCTAAGTTATTGATCGCCTATGTAAACAATCAATGAGAGGGTAAATAAGGAAGGTGCAGATATGCGTTCATTCAGACTCACACATACTTTTACATAGTGGGTTACTTGTCTAAATTACAGCAGCTAGGTAATAAAAACTTCGAAGGGCTTGCTATAATGCCATCTATAACTTGCATCTATTTTTCTTACTGCAAATCATTCTACGTATGTTAAATTTTTATTATTCTCTTAGACTATTTTTATCACTTTTAAATCCTGATCTTTCATCTAAAATGTGTCAGTGGCACTTTAAGCATTCAATTACATAAAGCTGTCAAAATATTTTTGTTCAAAAGCCGATTCCTTTCGCCTATTATGACTTTGCTGAATGTATATTTTAATATTGAAATGGTGGAGAAGATTTGTAGCTCAGGTGGATGATTTTGGTGGAGTTTTGTTCTCTGAGCTGGATGGTTTGGTCGTGTGTTTTCTGTCGGTTTTATCTTTTTGTATACTGCTGCAAAGTGGCAGCCCAATGGTTAATGCCTCCCTACTTTCACCCACTAAATCTCAGATTCTTATCCCGCTCTACCTACTTCAGTATGATCAAACAGTATCGCTTGCCCTCACACTTAGAGTGTGGGTTAAAGTCTAGTAAACGAATCTGTAACTGGTAGATAAGTTGTAAAGTGTAATAACTTGAAGTAGCACACAATTTTAGCTAGGTTCTACATTTACCTATTCTTGCTATAAGCGTTTCTACTAGGACAAGTGCAATAGGACAAATTACATCATCAGTTCGTTTTGTATTTACAGTGAATCATCTTTCCTGTCTTTTCACTTTTTTGTAAATGTTCTTTACGCAAATTTAAAATTATTATTCATTAGTTATCCTTTCTGCTTTCTCTCTTAACCATCAAAATAACTCATCTCTTATTTTATTTTTCATAGAATTGCGAAAATTGAAATTTGCGCTTATGGATTTGAAACGCTCTTCGCTATTTTTTCCCGGTATCAGATTGATCAAAGATATCTTGTGTAAAATTTTAAGCGTCTGCCCTGATCTAGATGGAGAGTAGACAAATAAATGGATTAAAATTGAGCCGTGTCTTCGGGACAGAATAAAGGATAATATATTTTTCTTTTCTCAGTTGTTTTCGTCATCACATTTCCTTATCTCGTTAAGTTTTATTTTGCGTAATTTTGGCGTAATTTCGTCTAAAATCTCTTTTATCTTACAGCTGCTAATGTAAACATTTATACCAAAAGATTACTTATAATTTATCTTCGTTATATACTTCATCTTGAGAATTTTCCTTCAAGTAATTACGTCACAGTTTAAACAGTATCATATAAACTATAACACAAATAGTCCGAAATAAATTCATACAAAAATAGAATGAAGTCTCGATCTATTCGGTTCTTCTCCAATAAATAAATAATGTACCACTATGCTTCTCTTGTTTACGATATATATTTCAATTATTTGGTTCTGATATAGTTTGATTTTAACTAATTTGCAGACATTAGAGCCGTATCTATAAGATAAATCTTTATTATGAAGTGTCGGGACTTATTCGGAAATTCTTAAACAATTGTTTTCTGAAATTCGTTATTTGAAAATTTACCGAATACCTATTCTTTAGTTTGAAATCAGTGATAGGTAGTTAATTATTTGAACGCTTTGAACACTTGATCTATCTCGGAAGTCGCATTAGTTTCGATAGTTGGGTGCCTAACGAGATCTCTCCATAGGTCCGAAATGCTCGCTTGGCTTTTGCGAAATCTTGTCACTTGTGGAGTAAGCGAGGCGCCAATTTACCAATCAAAAGTCGATTAAATTTAGCAGCGGTTTTCTTTGTATTACTCCATAGCTTTGAAACATGGTCTATGAGAGCAGAAGACACTTGTGCGCTGCAATATTTTTGGTTATATGTGTCTTCAAAGCATTGATCCGCGTATTATGGAACGACCAAGTGAAAAATGTTGGGGTTAGACATTGATTACTAACCAAATACACCCAGAAGGTTTATGAGTTTATCAATATTCATTAATTTGGACGGTTAAGACACGTGTTACGTATGGATAAACACAACCTACTTCAATGAGGGATGCCAGCTACTGTAGAAGTACGTTGGAAGCTAGGAGAGGACAAACTAAAACGTGACATCAGGACATAAAGCTACCGACTGTTAGTCTGAGCCACGACCGTTGTTGCTATCTTAACGTGGTGATCGGGCTTGCCTATCGTGATGAAGCAACCGAGCTATACTGGCCGGAACAACCGTTCCCCAAGGTTCTACCATGTCAGACAGTTCGGTTGAAAAGTGTTAAAACTAAAAGCAATAAACTCAAGGTCCGAAGGTGAAGTTGTACTGCTGACTGTACAGAGATGTGACGGAAGTAAGGTGTTTCTATCAGACAACCAACATAACAGCGATGCTGCCTTCCCACAAGGAGGGGTGGGGCTAGAAAAGGTCGACCCTAGAAATGCACACCTCACCTTATCCCACGGATATCCGTCTCCAGCAGTAAGGTCCCAACAAGTACGGAGCTAACACGGAAATTACTCACAAAAAGGTCATGTGTGACCGACCTCAAGCAGTTGTCTCTTGGGCACTGTGGTTATGCTCTCGGGTCACTAAGACCACCTCTAATCCAATTTCCTTTTCAGGTACCTCCAGAACAACCCTTCCACGGTGTGGGCAATCGGGAAGTGATAACCGCCCTCATACCTCTAACAGAACTCAAGACCACTGTATTCATAATCAACCTCCGTCTTCACTTCCTATTATTCCTCCTACATCGACTTTCACCTCTAAACTTCCTTTTTCGGTTTCCCTCTCAAGTGTCACCATAGCCAACGATTCTAATGCTCAGAACACTGTCCCAGGTCTACTGAAACCTCGCTCCAAACTACACATTGGAGCCTTCAACGTACGAACCCTATGTCAAATCGGTCAACAGGCTTCCTTGGCTATAAAACCCTAGAATCTCGTACCATTGATGTATGCTGTGTCTCTGAAACACGCATACAGGATCCCAGTGTTGTCATTCACTTGACCTCACCTCGGCAAAACGGAGAGCCAACGATATACACTCTCCATGTATCTGGTGACCCGACGGCCAGCTCTCGTGGACTGGCAGGAGTAGGGATAGCACTAAGCATGAGGGCGGAACAAGCAATGTTAGAGTAGATCTCCGTTAACAGTCGTTTATGCGCTGTTCGGCTAAACGGCTACGTAAGAACTCGGAAGGACAGGGACACACGTCGTTGCCTTTTTGTCGTTTCTGCCTACTCTCCCACCGACTGCAGCTCAGATGAAATGAAAGATGAATCTTACAGAAAGCTATCTGAACTTCTTCAGAAAGCTAAACGTTCAGACATAGTACTCGTAGCAGGTGACTTTAATGCCCAGATAGGTAGTTTAAACCAAAGAGAAAGGCATTAAGGTGGGTATTTTAGTATTCCGACACAACGAATAGATAATGGTGATCGTCTGCTGCAACTGTGCTCAGACAATCGTTTATTTTTAGCAAACACGAATTTTAAGCATAAGGAGAGACATCGTCTAACATGGCGACCCCCTACACCAAACCAACGATGGACTCAAATAGACATCAGTCATCGTTGGAGAGGGTCGGTAGAAGAGTGTCGCTCATTCTGGAGTACCTGCTTGAACTCCGACCACGCCCTAATGCGGGCACGCATCTGCTTGCGCCTCACTGGACGCAAAAAAACCACATTAAAAAGACCCATTAGAACTTAATTGAGTAGCGAGAAAACCAAAAGTAGGTTCCAGGAACAATTGAGGTCACACTTAGGCAGTTCTGCAAACGATGCTGACTCAGATGTTGCTTGGAAAGATATACGAACAGCTGTGGAAACAGCAACGACATCTATTAGTGATTTGAAATCAGCGGATTACTACTAACTCTATTGCACTGATAGATTCTTGTAAACTCATCCCATCAGTCTCTGAACACGATAAAGAGCGAAAACAAATCAGATCTAGGCTAACCAAAAGTCTAAGTAACGATTGTGAGCAGTGGTGGGCAACGAAAGGAAGAGATTGAAAAAGCAGCGGCTGTAGGTAACACTAGAAAGCTTTACAGACTACTGAAATAATTTGGAATTAAGAAGTCAAGTGTAAATGAAACACGAGAAAATCAGGTTGGCTTCAGACCTGGTCGCGGCTGTATCAACCACATATTCACCATTCGTCAGGTTCTAGAACATAGATATACTTATCAGCGTCTGACAATGGTGGTCTTTCTTGACTTAAAAGCAGCATTTGACTCTGTAGACCGCGAGATTCTGTGGCAGTGTCTGTCACTGAAAGGCGTACCTTGTGAAGGCTCTTTACTCGAACACTACTAGTCGTGTGAGAGCTTATTGCGAACTGTCATCCGCTTTTGCAACCTCAAGTGGTGTCCGTCAAGGCTGTCGACTTTGTTTAGCTTCATCATAGACCTATTGATGGAAATAACACTCTCGTCGACTGAATTCTCGGGTATTGATCTCCTTCCAGGAGGTTCACTTATCGACTTAGAATACGCAGATGATATAGTCCTGTTTGGTAAGGACGCTGACAAAATGCAGAGTCTTTTGGTAGCACTAAGCAACAATGCAAGAATGTTTGGAATGCGCTTCTCTCCCTCGAAATGCAAGTTGTTGCTTCAGGACTGGCCTGCGTCAACACGTGAACTAAGGATAGGGAGTGAAGTAGTCGAACGCGTTGACAACTTCACTTATCTTGGAAGTCTGACCAGCCCTAATGGGTTGGTGTCTGACGAAATCTCAGCACGGATTCGAAAGGCTCGCTTGGCTTTTGCCAACTTACGTCACCTATGGCGAAGGCGAGATATCCGTCTATCAATAAAAGGACGAGGGTACTGCGCGGCAGTTTGTTCTGTTCTACTTCACGGCTGTGAAACGTGGCCATTAGGAGTAGAAGATATTCTTAAGCTACTAGTATTTGATCACAGATGTCTTAGTAATATTACTCGCATCTGCTGGAATCACCGGGTAAGTAATAGTGAGGTTAGACGCAGGGTGTTAAGGAATGATGGCAAATCAGTTGATGAGGTTGTGAATCTTCATCGACTGGGATGGTTGGGTCACGTGTTACGTATGCCTGAACACCGATTAACATGACGTGCAATGCCAACGGGTGTTAGAGATGGTTGGAAGAGAATTAGGGGCGGCCAAACTAAACCGTGGCACCAGTGCTTGAAGACACTAACCTCTAGTCTGAGCGATGTTGGTAGATGCAGACTACTTGGTTGGGGTCCGCGTGACTTTCGTAACCGATGTTTGGAGACTCTTGGTGATATGGCTCAGAATCGATCACAATGGCGTCGGTGCATACACTCCCTGTCTTCCCTTAAACTAAGAGATTAAAATCGCTTCATATCTTTCTACGAACTAATTCTTTCTTACTGTACTATATCCTTATTGCAATCTTACTTTTATATATTACCACCTCTGAATTAACTACTTTTATGAATCCGGTGTTCATCTTGTTGTGTTAATGAGGTATGGCAACTTGGACCGATGCATATATGTGCCTGGTCCTACGTTGTAGCTGACTGATTGGTGGGGGTGCGCACGATAAGTAGTTGGAAACGTTGGGTGACATTTCGAATCCGGTCACAATGACACATATGCACTCTTTATCTCACTCTAGATCTTCAGTCTCAGTATTCCTTCACATATTGTACCTTTGCATTTTTTTGAACTTCATTCTGGCTATTCTGTAGTTACCTATAGTTCGTAATTATTTGTGTTTGATATATCTCGAAATCTTCAACTGTGCTCCACATATGCGACGTTTCGTGCAGCATGATATTGGCATTGTCTCTCCATAAATGTAAATCAGTCTGATTTACAAACTTAGGTTTTCTTAATATTTGTAATTTCAATCTACCTTTTTCATATTGAATTTTAAAGGTTACTAAGTGAGGAAAACTAACTTTCACACATGAAATCTTAGAGATTATACGCTTTGTAAGTGACATTCATGCAATATTGTCCTAAATAGTTGCTATGATATCCGTTTACGGTATTCGGAACAATTACGAAGGGTGATAAAAACAGTTATACCAACCACTGAAGTGGTGAATAAATTTGAAATTAGTAAAAACTGAACAGTTTTCTCTAGCTTACCTGGGGAGTAAATATATTGGCTCTTTGGATATCAGTACCATACATAATACATAAATCGATTTAAAACCTTTCGTTTGAAGTAATTAGTGTCTTAAAACTTATACGACCATGGACAGGAAAGAGAGAAACGTATAGTTTCTGAACCAAATAAAAATTTTTATATTCTCTTATTGATATAGCCTAACGTTTGATTACACCGCAACTAGTTTGGAGTTTCAAAGAACACTTCCTGAGAATAAGTGAAGTTCCTTTTTCGGTATATCCCCTTTATCTTGAGTGAATATGAAATATTATATAAAGAAACTTATTAGTACACATCTAATATTATGTAAAACCCTCAAATCGATCATATCT